CAGTCCCTGCTCAATATACAGTGTTCCGCGGAATCCACGCCTCATCGGAGAAGTGTGAGTAGGCTGAGGAAGATTGTGCCTGAACTGCACCACTTATACATGTATACGGCTCGCCAGAGCAAACCATCAACAGGGATACAAAATAACAGAGACACTTAGTTTCCAGCGCGACAAACACCTCGTGAATCCCCAGGTATCAGCTTGAGTCAGAGTCGTCATGGATTTGTACTCTACACACGGTGAGAGCCAGTAAATATTCACGCTGTCATCTTCAACAACTATTCGGAGGTTCGGGTGAAGGACAACGACACGAACTAAGAAGTAGCAATTTCGGCGGTGTTAGTCATGAAGATGATTGTTCCAACGATCGAGTTAAACACGCCTCTTGGCAAACTTGACCTTTCACTGATTAAATTTCTTGCTAGCCTGACGAGTGAAAGGTGCGGCGTGCTCCTCATTTGCGCCGCATGGCAGTCGTAAGTCTGTATAGTAGCCTCAGGTCGGCAGGGTCATCAATGCCTCACAATCCCTGCTGCGTCTCGGTGAAGCGCCTGCTCATGAGTTTGCACGTTTGTGTTAATCTCCGTACCATTGTCTTTCCGCTTGTTCTTTTCGAGCTGGCTATGTGAACATATTTAAAAATAGAAAAAAAGTGAAATACAGTAAAACCTCGTTAGGAAGAACAATAATAAGACAAAATATTTGCCTAAGAAGAACTAGTAGTCGTAACTGTATTGGATAACACCCTGTGATTTCACTAGGTAAAACATATGGATAAGAAGAGCTCCCGTTAACGCGAACAGAATAACATAATTATGTCCCTTCATCTTCCTCCTGAAGAGGTTTGACTGTAATTTTAAAGGTGGCCATTGGTCATGGACCAGGAGTTGGGAGAAATAAATGAAATAAGATAGTCGATCGGCTGAGTAGTCGTGGATAGAAATATGCCGAGAGTGTTCTTTCATGTGTTCCCAAGCTGCCCAGTCACTAGGGGTCAGAGGATTATGCTCGGAAAATGACCAGATTATGCACCAGGGGATCCTCTCTATTATGCCTTCTATTATGCCTTCAATAGCAGGTGTGTATAGCATCCTCATTGGGCATCTGCCCTTGTTTTTCCGATACCTTTTATGCTACTTCTCAAAATGCCAGATGTAGGGGCCTTCTATTAGGCCTTCAATAGCAGGTGTGTATAGCATGCTCATTGGGCATCTGCCCATCGTTTTTTCGATAGCATTCTATGCTCCTTCGCAAAATGGACCTGATTATGCCAAACATTTTTCCAGCGTAATCCACTTACTCCTACCAGTCACCCATCATTTCTACTGAACATGACGGGTGTTCGGCTTTTGCGACCCTTTCTTCAGCACGCTGGTGATCTTTTGTTTGGTTTCGAAGTTTTTCACTATTAAATTAATATTTTTTCTACAATGAGACAGGTGTTAAGTTGAAATAGAGAGCTAATATGCAGGTTCAACTACGGCCTTTAAAGGTAATAGTGCTGTGTTGGCGTGTTTGAATATCTTGTTTCTTGTACATATACTACCTCCGAGTACGTATTACAAGGTGCACATGCAGGTTCGATTCCTGCAACGCACATGTTAGTTCATATAGAGACTTTTTTTGGCAACAAAATTTTGTTTTTCCGTTACCCGAGTGTGCAGTTATCTGTTTTTACGCGTGTCCTTCGACACGATCTCCCACCAGAAAAGGGGCAGAATGGCAAGCATTGACTTTGGTATCCTAAATTACGAAGGTCTTGAAAACTTGGCATTTCTCATGAGTCGGTCTAAGCCGTTTAGCTTGTGGTTAATAGGGTAAACATTCATAATTATGGTGTTTTAACGGACAACTGTTTTACAAACCATTGATTTGACTCACAATAGTTTCGAAGTTGCGACTTCCGCGCTATCAGTAATGAAGTAACTGGTTGTTACACCGAGGAACACACGCTTTTTGCCGAACTTGGCACTTGACTGACTCACGACTGCAATCCGGTTAGTCATGAAGATGATTGTTCCAATGAGGAAAACACGCCTCTTGCCGAATTTGACCTTTGACTGATTCACTTCATTGCAAGCCTGCCGAGTGGAAGATGCGAGGTGCTCCTCTTGAGCTCTGGATGGCAGCCGTGATTCCGTCAAATGTCAAGTACGGCAAGAGGCGTGTGTTCCTCGTTTTTACTTTCAAATGTTTTTAAGCACTCAGAGTTGGCAATTCTTTGTTATTAATTTTAATTCAATCTCGATCCTCCAAGCGTAGCCTAGGGCAAGTATTGCCACCATTAGGCATATGCGGATAATGCCGCCAGAAAAATTGGCAGAATTCGGTACTTTTTCTGGTAAGTTTCATGCATGTTTGGTATGTAGATACAGAAATGGAGTAGAATTCGAGGAATTGCCCACCATAAGGCTTGTATGGTTCTGCCAATTTCTCTGCTTTTCGAGCAAAACCTGCCACCTTTTCGAGCATTATCCGCCAATGCCTATCCACCATCGACATATTTATAATCGCTATCATTAATATTATGTTAAATAATAAATAGTTTAAAGGGGAAGTTAAGGCAAAAATTAAAATTTCACCAGTTGTAGTCTTCGGGGTGCTGAGTCGAATGGTCTTGGTCCGAGAAAGCTGAGACGCTCCCTTCCTACTTGAATCCCAATCGAACTCGCGCATTTCCACCGAAACTGGGTGACTGCGCCCTACTAGATGGGGATTTGTATGCAAAATGTCACTAAAAGCGCCATTTCGTTGTTATAAAAGCACGGATGACCGCGATTGGCCCATATGTTGTAGTCTTTAGGACGCTGAGTCGACTGGTTTTGGTCCGAAAAGGCTGCGATGCAGCGTTCCTCCTATATTCCCAATCGAACATGGTTGAACACGCTGTCACGTGCTCCTGGGTGCCCAAATCACCTGGTCACCACGCCAGCAGGCGACAACTTTCACACCAAGGTTCAACTCGAGTTCAACTCGAGTGACAGGACTGCACCCAAAAAAGGTCAAACAGGCTAGTTAGTTATACCCTGCAGGCCCGGTGACCAGGTGACTGGCGTACGCAGGAGCACGTGGACCAGGAGTTGAGAGAAATAAATGAATAAGATATAAAGAGGTTTGACTGTCATTTTAAAGGTGGTCTTTGGTCATGGACCAGGAGTTGAGAGAAACGAAATGGCTTGGAAGCTCAGGGCCCTTCGCTATGCTTTTTTGCCTTGATGACCTAGACAAAAAAAAGCATAGGGATGTTATAAATTCTTTAAAAAAATCCTTTTTTTTTAAGACATAACCTGGGATTCGAACCCGCACTATCGCGTGCCCTGCATGCATCCCCCGATACACTTCGCATACATACTAATTCTTCCAAGTTGTTTCACAGTGTGATCTTGCATTTGAAAGCCCTATTTGAATATGCATTGTGGCCAGCCGTCTTTGATGGCACGGTACGGTAGGGGATAGGTACGGGACAGGTACGATCGAGGGTGATACGACACCGTCTCTCGTACCGTACCATCAAACACAGCTGGCCACATACAGCTGCCTGCAATATTCAAATAGGGCTTTCAAATGCAAGATAATAGGGAGGTTCCGGAGTACGATTTTTCGTGCCAAAATCCGTGGAGGCTCTACGGATTTTTTATACGTCGTTTTCGAGCAGTGAAAAGTTCCGGGGTAAGGAACTTATGTGTTTGCCGTCATTGCCTAGGTTACGATCGCAAACACGTCACATTCCCGCGCTATGCCTTTTTATTTTGAAAATTTGTACCGAAATCAAAACTTCCCGCGAAAAATCGATGTTTCTCGTACCAAATTTGTACGCGAAAAATCTTTCTGCACCCGATGACGCAAAATCTCCATACGAAGCATGGTTCGTATGAAAGCCAGTCCACACGGATTCTCGTGCCGAAAAATCGTATGGAGCAGGCCTGGAAAAAAATCCGTACCGCCCATACGGATTTTGGCACGGAAAATCGTACCCCGGAACCTCTCTAATAACGTGAAACAACTTGGAAGAATGGGTATGAATGCGAAGTGTATGGGGGAATGCATGTAGGGCGATAGTGCGGGTTCGAATCCCAGGATATGCCTGAAAAAAAAAAATAGGAGAATTGAAAAATTTATAACATCCTATGCTCTTTTTGCCTTCAGATACGGATAGCGCCAGGCGTGACACAAACAAACAAACAAACAAACAAACACACAAATACCAAACGAGAGAGCTTGGAAGCTCAGGGCCCTGCGCTATGCTTTGTTGCCTGGCTCATCGTGCATGTTGTTAGAACTGATGGAAATGCTTTTTCCTTTTATTAGCTACATCATTGTATTGCAAAAACGTTTCAATGAGATACTGAAGTAACGTCTTCTGCATAGTTATGGGACCGGCGCTGACTCTGCCGATCACGGGCGTTCTGGAGTCGACGGGATGTCTGTCCTGACGTTTCCTGGGACCGGCGCTGACTCTGCCGATCACGGGCGTTCTTCTTCTTCTTATTATTATACTGACGGCAACTAACATACATTCTGATTGCATTTACTCGTCTCCCTACTTCGTATTTCTTTCCAGAAAATCTCCCCATACAGCAGGGAGTCGTTTACATAATATGACTCCCTGCTATACATCTACATGACTGTATATACGTTATAATTATTATGCTATCGGCCTACATGCGATTCCCGGGCTGGTCGACAGGCGGCCCAGCCAGCCTGCTAGTGGGATCTCGGCCTCGCACACAAATCCACACAAAATGTTACTGCATTGAATGCATTCCCCCGATACACTTCGCATATATACTCATTCTCTTGATAGTACCGTACTCTTGATGGTACCGTACTCTTGATGGTACGGGACAGGTATGGGATAGCGCCAGGCATGTCGATGGCACAAACAAACAAAAATATTGTGGCCAGCTGTCTTTGCTGGTACGGTACAGTACGGGACAGATACGGGATGTCGCCAGGCGTGACACAAACAAACACACAAACACCAAATTAAAGCCGTGTGGACCCTGGCTAGCGCCAGACGTTACTGAAGTAACGTCTTCTGCATAGCTACGGGAATTAAAGCTGTGTGGACCCTGGCTAGCGCCAGACGTTACTGAAGTAACGTCTTCTGCATAGCTACGGGAATAGACCGATCCCCTTATTATACTGGGTTCGAGCACGGGGGCAACCTCACTCGCGATCGAGCTAGTTTTTGAACGTGACAGCATCTTTGACAGTGTGTTTCAGGTTTGTTTTGGAATGTCTTCTGCTTAGTTGAAGTAGTTTGCGATGGCTTCGAGCGGTGCTAAACCTCCTGCTGGTAGGAGCAGAGTCTCCGAGAGAGACATGGACTGTGATGCCGCTGCAGGATTTTTTCAAGGCGCGGGAGGGAACGATCTCGGGCCACAAACAGGAGTTACTCCAGAGGTGAGTTTTTTTGGTGTTGAAATATTCGAATCGCGAATCGTGTTGTGAGATTTATTTTGTGCCTAGGCTACAGCAGACCATATTTCTTTCTCCTTGCGATCGGTGCTGAAGATAATAGTAAACTTTTTCTGGTCTGTCTTTTTCCTCTCCAGAGCCATCTTCTATGAAGGTAACCGTGGTGCTGCCAAGTCACCAAGTCGCGATCAGCAGCCCTGAAGTGGAAAAATCGATTTTCCAACGATCTGGTTGGACATCAGCCACTAAAGTACTCAGTCTGATTTGCCTGTAGTGACAACAGCAGCCATCCTTGGACACCTTGCAAAGACAGGAAAAGCCACTGGTGGAAGCGACTGCTTTGAGGTGACGATAGCAGTGCAGTGGTGATCGCTGTTTTGTCAAGTCGAAGGGCTAGCCAACCCAGAGGAAGCATAAAAAAAACGATGAGCAGTGCGTGTTATTTGTTGAGCGTGAAGAGCTAGAGGAGGACAGTGCAAACACATGGACGGAGTGGATGGTGTTTGAAGAACAGTGTGCTGTGTGCCGGCTGGTGGTGATGGTGGTCTTTGTCAGCATGTATTCGTGCTGCTTCTTGTGCTGGAACACTTCTCGCCCAGGAAGGCAGATTGCGTGCTCCCTGGCCCTCAGTTGGCTATGGGGCATTTGTTCCAGGAACATTACCCCAGAGCCAATGATGAGTCGTACCTTTGAAAAGTCGAAGCTTGCTGTTAATCGCAAGCGTAGCGCAGTGGATTGCTCCCTCTTCGAAGCACGAGGGCCAAAGCTTGCCGCTGTCTGCAGCAAAGTGTGTGTGCGGTTCTTTCGAACCTATGAATATACCCCCTGCACGTTCAGAGTGAACTATTTTCTAGTATATTTAACATCCTCAACCCGCCAGCACCATGCGCTCTTGGCCGAACTAATGCACGAAGCATAAACACACCAGCACAGCAAGGACACTTCCGTTGACAGATATTGTTTACGCCTCTAGACCGCTGTTTCTTTTCTTCGAGCTCATCGTTAGAGGAGGATAGTAGCAGGATACTAATGATGATATAATAGAAGATGATAGACGGTTTATGGTCCGATATTGATGATTGAAGATCAAAGAAAGCAATGACAGTGATTGCGAAATGGATAATATTATCATGATTATATGCCAGTCTGGTAATGCGTTGTACTTGTGGACAGTATTGAAATCATCACTGCATTCAATGCAAATATTGGTATACCTTTGGTTTCAGTATTGGAAAAAAAGAGTAAGAGAACCTGGTTGATTTGGTTGCATCTGCGACTGGCTACCGGGTGTTGTGATCAGCAATGTTACCATGGGAGAAAATAAGAGCGCAAGGATCTGTTGGGTCTTTTTGTGCCAGTGCGAGAACCCTAAGTGCATGGCAAAATAGAACTGTTTCATCCACAATGCAGAATGTCTTGCGGTACATGGCATTGATGACTGAACATCTCGCCAGCTCGCCCAAATGGGGATCATGCCCAAACGGAGGAACAAGACATCTTTCCAGCTCAGCTAGCTATATAGTATATACCGTGAAACGGATGATTAACTTGTGCCTCGCATGACAGCTTCTGTCCCATTCGGCCCAGGCTTAGACACATCAATGCCAATAGCAGCTGATCCTCCATTACATGCTCATTGGCGATTTACGGCCACCTCCAACTGTATCCGCCGTCCCTCAGCTTCCGTCTTCGCAGATCTGGCTCGGCGCAGTACATTTTCTCGGCTAGGCTCAAAGAAGTCCCACAGAGCGGTCCAAACACCTGAAGGCAAACCAGTCAGAAACTGGCACGGCTCAGAGTCTTTCTTCATGTTATTGTACGTAAGCTGTTTTTCGGCTTTCTTCACCCCATCGTCCAACTGCTCCACGAGACGCTGTACACGAGCTCTACTTGCTGCCAACTCCTGATGCAGATGCTGCACTTCCATTACAGGACCAAACTACACTAAGCCAGGTTCCTTTCCAACTCAAAATGCCGTTGCCTCTCAGCAAAATACTGGTTTGCGAGCATGGGGAGCTCGTGATGCAGACGCTGCACTTCCATGACCGAACTGCACTAGGCTCAGCAAATACTGTTTTGCGAGCATAGGGAGCAGAGCGTCCAGACTCCACTTTCTTGCGAAAAGCAAACCTGGTACCGTAGGACAGCTGTTTGGTTTCCTGGACTCATCCTGCCCTTGTAGAGCTGGGCAAAACGATTTCGACTTCGGGATCGAAATGATCGCTGCATCTCAAATATTCAGAGTGACCCTAAAACTACGTCCTTCCTCACGGGGAATAGCCTGGATCCGCTTGCTCCAGGCCGCTGTGGCTCCACACGACGAAAGGAGTGAAATGACCTGCTTGCTTCGTCCTCCTGTTCTAACAGTGAGGAACGCAGCAATGATCCTGAGAAGGCATCCTGAAGTCGTAAAAAGGAAGACGTCTAAACAAAAACAAAACAGCTCAAATCAAAAGTCCTTGTGGCATTTTTTGTAGACAGGCTTGCACTGCGTGTAGATTTCACGTGCTCTGCACTTCGCATGCGAGAAGTCACGCAAAGCCGAGGTGAGGTTGGTCGCGTGTGTGCAGCAGGATCCCACGCGACTGCGGAGTTGCCCCCTTGCTCGAACCCAGACAATAATAAGGGGATCGGTCTATTAAAGCTGTGTGGACCCTGGCTAGCGCCAGACGTTACTGAAGTAACGTCTTCTGCATAGCTACGGGAATAAATTAATAAGGTATAGTCGATCGGCTGAGTGGTCGTGGGTAGAAATGTGCGGAGTCTTATAGGCGATTCACACGACAGGCAAATTCACGTTTGTCATGTGCCCGCAGGAAGTGAAGCGTGAGGCTGCAGTTCACACGAAGGCGGGTGGCGGCCAGAGCTCCGGCGAGTATCCAGTGAGTATACGACGTTACTGTGGTGATTTGGAATGAGTACCCAAAAACAAAGGCCAAACTACCAGGGTTCAAGACTACCGTACCATAGTACGACCTCACAGCCTCATAACTGTAAAAGTGCCGGCAGATGAGGGCATCCGCGGGCAAAAAGCCCATGGACACTTTTGATTCCTGCGGAGAAATTTTGGTCGCCCGCAGGAATATCTCCATTTTGATTCTCCTGTAAACGTGGATTTGCCTGTCGTGTGAATCGCCTATTAGACCCTCAACAGCAGGTGTGTATAGCAGCCTCATTGGCGTGTTTGAATATCTTGAATATCTTGTTTCTTGTGTATGTACTACTACTTCGAAGTACGTATCACAAGGTATCTATGCCGGTTCGATCCCTGCAACGCACTTGAACGTTAGAGACTTTTTTTCGCATAATTTTTGGTTTTTCCGTAATCAGAGTGTGCAGTTTTATCGCGTGTCCTTCGTCACGATCTCCCACCCGAAGAGGGGCAGAATGGCAAGCATCGACTTTCGTATCCTAAATTACGACGGTCTTGAAAACTTGGCATTTCTCAGGAGTCGGTCTAAGCCGTACAGCTTGTGGGAGCGGTTAATAGGGTGATTACTCATAATTAGGATGGTTTAGTAGAGAACTGTTTTGCAAACACTATTTTTGACCCACAATTGTTTAGAAGTTGCGACTTCCGCGGTATCATTCCAGAAGTATCTGGTTGTTCCACCGAGGAACACACGCCTTTTGCCGAACTTGACACTTGACCAACTCACGACTGCCACGCGGAGCATACGAGGATTCCCCTTCGCACCTTCCACTCAGCAAACCTGCTAGGAAGCACCAATCTCTGCTCAATACACAGTGTTCGGGGGAATCCACGCCTCATCAGAGAAGTTTGAGTAGGCTGAGGAACATTGTGCCTGAACTCCACCACTTATACATGTATACGGCTCACCAGAGCAAAACATCAACAGGGATACAAACTTACAGAGACACTTAGTTTCCAGTGCGACAAAAACCTCGTGAATCCCCAGGTAACAGCTTGCGTCAGAGTCATCATCTATTTGTACTCAACAGACATTGAGAGTCAGTAATTATTCACGGCGCTGTCACCTCCAACCAATAACCGCACGTTCGGGAGAAGGACAATGATGCGAATGTAGAAGAGGCAAGTTCGGCCGTGTTAGTCATGAAGATGATTGTTCCAACGGGGTAAACAAGCCTCTTGCCAAACTTGATCCTTGACTGATTCAATTTCTTGCAAGCCTGCCCAGTGAAAGGTGCGACGTGATCCTCGTGTGCGCCGCATGGCAGTCGTGAGTCAGCCAAGTAACCTCAGGTCGGCAGAGTCATCAATGCCCCACAATCACTGTTGCGTCTCGGTGCAGCGCCTGCTCATGAGTTTGCATGTTGGTGTAAGTCTCCGCACCATTGTCTTTCCGCTTGTTCTTTTCGAACTGGCTATGTGAACATATTTAAAAAAAGAAAAAAAAGTGAAATACAGTAAAACCTCGTTAGGAAGAACACTAATAAGACAAATATTTGCCTAAGAAGAACTAGTAGTCGTAACTGTATTGGACTAAAAATGTTTGGGTGCTGACAAGCCCATGTCCTTTCTTTTCTCTCTCCTTCTCCTTTCTCCTTTCCTATCTCATCCTACCTTCTCTGTCTTACATTTCTGGGAAAATGACTAACAAATTTTTCCCACTGGCTTCGTGGAATTTCCGTAGCTGCTCCTCATTTTATCGGCGAGAGCAACTCGCCCGCTCGCTCTCGGTTCGTGCTGTCGATGTTTGCGCAGTTCAGGACACTAAAATTCTGGAACAGCGCTGCTGGGACTTGCCACTGGGCTACCAACTCCTCACTATGTCGACAAGCAACAGGTTTAGCGGAGTTTGCGTGCCCGTGGAACCTTCTTTGTGGCCATTCTTGTCGTGCTGGAAAGCTGTGAGTGACAGAATTGGTTATGCCCTATTCTCGTTCCCTTCATCAAATAAGTCGCCGCTTGCGTTTATTACGGCGTTTGCTCCGACAATACCAAAGTCATCGAGTAACCCTGAGCTCCGAAACAACTTCTATGAGTCGCTAACCTCCCTCGTTCGAAGTTTTTCTCGCCGTACGGACGTTTTTGTCGGCGGTGACTTCAATGCAAAGGTTGGGCACCGAAAGGCAGCTGACAACTTCAATTGTTTGGGAAGCTGGTCCAAGGGCAGACGCAATGACCACGGTGAATCACTCCTGTTGTGCGCGGATGAATTGGACATGAAGCTGTCAAACACCGTATTTCAACACCCAGCACGCCATAATGCGACGTGGACAGGAGTGTTCAAGCGCCAGAGTAGATTGGTTCTGCTATGCGTGAAACGTAGAGAAATCACGTAGAGAGCAGGTGTCTGGGTTAGAGTCTACGGCTTCGCGTGTTTTGGCTCCAGATTTCTACGCGGAGATGGGGTTCTCTACGTTGTGGCACACGCAGAGAAAATGCGTACGGATTTGCTGGGTATCGATCAACTGCTTGCAGAAAACTGCCAAATATGGAAGGGGAAATTCCCAGTACACATTCCACGTGACTTCTCTAGGTGAAACGTAGAGCAGAACAGCATTTCTTTACGTTACGGGAACGCGAAGAAAGTTCGCGTGATTCATTGCGTCGCGTTCCCAACACGTAGAGCAGAACCTCCCTAGTGATACAGTGCCTCAACCAATCTACAATCAAATCGACTTTATCCTTGTCCCCAATCGCCTTGTTAGCGGCCTCAGAAACGGTTGGTCATACGCAGGTTGTGAATTATCGTCAGATCATAGGATGGTGGTTACTACCATGGTCAATCTCC